ATCAACAAAATGCTTGAAAGGAGTTGGCATAAACCTGATGAGATGGGTACAGAATGAGACAGACCTTTTTTGTTCATGCTTTGGTAGAGTTTCTGCTGTCTGAGGGAGCCATTTTTGGCTACAGATCCTGACTAGAGCTTGCTATGCTTCTGGTGCTCACGGGGTAACCCATGGGCTTCTGAAAACATGCCCAGTGTGAATCCGGATTGTTTTCGATTCGGTTTATTGAAACCGAAGAGGTCGACTGGATGTAGCTCCCAAGGAGGTGTCAGATCAGGTGCTGCTTCAGCCAAGTCCTTCCAAAAAACCTGGAACCCTCGCGCAAACCTGGCGAAAACGAGAGGTTCCGTTCATCGGAGGTAGAGTTGTTCTGAAGGGTGAGAGGAGCTGATCCCCCCAAAAGGCTGGCTGAAGATGTTTCCGCTGTTTTATGTTTTGGAATGTTTGGGACCTGCTTTTCGGATGACCCAATGTCGTCGATCGGCTCAAACAGGGGCGACTTCATTTGAGAGACACTGCAATTCCAATGGACCGCCCACACATGCAGTGTTGATTCTGGAGAATAGAGAAACACGTGCAAGAAACACGGCCGCTGGACCAAGACAGCCCGTGCTGTGCGGTCTCTCCATCTCTCCATCCTTACCCGCTTAAATCACATTTTTTTTCATTTAGTTTCCAACCACAACGGCCTCTTGACTCGCCCGAAGCCCCCTTAACGCCAACGGCAGGTACCAGTGGACTCTTTGCAGAGGTCACCCATAAGGAGCCAACGGAGCGCCTGGCGATCTTCTGCGGCACCAACATCAACCAGGATGGCAGGAGACCCCCCCCGGCACGAGACCCGTGCGCGGAGACCCGAGACTTCTAGCGTGTGCGTTTGGTGCGTCGTCGAGTGGGTGATCCTTTGGAGATCAAATTCCATGGATTTCCCAGTCAGCGGAAAAACACGGAGAGGTACAGCGTCAAAGAGAAGCAACAGGCGATTTGGTGTTTCACCTGGCACCAGCGACGACTTTTTCGGGAAAGACACCACAAGCGTCAAAAGGATTTGATTGGGATCCACTGTTTCAACTGGGTGGATTTGGTGCTTCGTGCATGGCATCGAGTGGTGGACTGGGCAGATGTAGAGTTGCTTCGAGGGTAGTCTGTGGTGGACTGGTCACTGTGTTTTGGCTCCAAAAGAATTGGAATCTTAAGACCCTTGGCTTGTTGGGACGTCTAACCGTTGAGTTCAACGAACCCAAGTGGAGCTACAGTGAAGAGGCCAGGGATGGTCGGTATGTGCCTCCAAGCGAGGATTGGGACGTCTCTTAGGTCCTCTCTTTTCGGCTCGATTGTTGGGGTGCTCCCATTCCATCGAAAAACAGAACCGGTCACAGCTGCAGACGAACCGAAGTGCACCATCGACCGAAGTGCATTTTCCTCAACAAGCCCCGTGTTTTCAAGGTCTTTTTGGTGGGTTGAGTGGCACAATCCCGCAAGTTTGGTTTATAGAGACCCCCATCTGAAAGATATCTTGAGGTGCCATCTAGTCAATCTACTCTGAAACCTCTGTATGTTTGTTTGTATGGATCACATGGGGTCACTCCTATCTCTCCCCATTTCTGACCGATTGGTCAAAGACAAGGAGTGCGTCGATGACAGCTCCCCATGGCCCTTCACAGCAGGAGTCGCGTTCACGCGGGAGGGGCATTCTGCACGGCGTTCGGGGTGTTTTTTCTCCCCAAGCAGTGTGGTAACACTAGGGTCACTAGGGGTTCTTACGGTAATAGTTGAGGGCTGGTGCTGAATCGAGGTGTTGCATCAGGGCGTCCGGCTAATTCGTTGCAATTTACAGTGCATTCATGCCTCTCGAAATCCTCGACGTGCATTTCGACTGCGCAGGCTTGCAAAATCTGGTGGGCTGGCGCGGATGCTCGTCGCGACTGCGCTCTCGTTGTGGTGCCGTGCGCATGGTGGTCACTCTTGATGGCAGGCACACGGGAAACCTCGTGTTTGGTGGTCCAAAGTCGACTTTTCGTGACAGGTGCAAGGGATCGGAACGGTTTTACTTCGATGTGTAGATTTCGTGGCAGGTGTCAGAGAAAGTGCGCTTTAGTTTAAGTCCATCAACTTGGATGCAACTTATTGTTTTTGCATTGTACCTTTGTGTTTGAAGCATCTTAGTTTCCAAGTTCGGCCATGACTTCGAAGCCCAAGATCGTCATCTCTGTGGACTCCCCACAGGCACTGGTGCACGTGGATTCGCCCGAGGTTTCGGCGCAAGTGGAAGTGAGGGACCGGGATGATCGGTCGAAGCGAGTTCTTGATGAACATGGGCCGTCGGCTGGGTCGAGCTCGGATCTACCCCCTTGAAAGGGAGGAGGCCATTCGTCGAAGGCTGGATAACCCCACACTTCCAGAAGAGGAGGACACCGGTGCCACCAGTGGATTCGCCTCCTGAGGATGTTCCCCATGCACCTTTTGAGCCGCCACCGAGGAGATTGCAATGCGACTTGAGAATGTGGAAAAGTACTCGATGACGGTCACTTCGGGAGAGAGGATGCACCGTCGAAGCTGTGGCATGTTGCGAAAGCACCAGGAGTCAAGGCCTGTTCACAGTCCGAGGTGTGCAACTGAGGGGATTGTGAGCTATGGCAGGTGTCGATTCTCATTTGAATTTGGCAGCTATTTCCATGCCAATAATGGATTGTGCTGCATTCCGAACAATCGGAGATTGAAGCCTTGCAAGCATTGCGTTCGTCTGTAATTCAGATCGAAGGAATTGGCTGAGTGAGAACATAAGGTTTCTGTTCTACTTGCTCTCGGTGTTTGATATTCACACCACCAGCAGCCGCACCACCACCACCACCACCGCCACCACCACCACCACCACCATCATGATCCTCACGTTCATCACCACCATCACCTCTCTGGACCCCAATGCGTCTAGATCTCTGGACTTTCTGCTGCTACACTTCTAGAGTGGCCGAAGCTGGCTTCCATGTAATTCCCACCTAGGCCTGCTTAGGCCGTTCCCACCCATTACTTGGGTGGCCAGACACCAGTCAGCCCAACACATCTAGGTAGAGCAATGGGTGGTGCCATTCAAGAATGGTCCGAAGTCATCCAGGCCCTTTCTGGACAGACCTGGGTAGCTAGGCCTTACAAGCTATGATCTGGGGACTTGGTACTTTCTTTTTCTGAAGAGTTGAAGGCTGATGATCTGATGCATGTTGAACTCATGCACTTAATGCGCAATGACCATGCTGGGTCTTTAAATAAGTTGGACTATGTCGCCCATGTTGGACACATTTTGGTGCTACGTTATTCCAATATCGATTCATCTATGTACTACTCTAACTTTCACGTGGACGAAGATGGTCCCAGGTCATGTTTGGTCGTTGTTTTAAATCCAGGGGGGAGTCGCCTAAACCCGGTTTAGGCGGACTCCCGGAGGTCACCTCCCCAGCCTGCGGCAAGAAAGTGGGGGCGCAAGCGTGCGCAGTGGAGCAGCATGCCTGGTCCTGCCGTGCGTCCCGCGGAGATCCATACCGGGTCTTGGGGAACCAGCAGGTGGATGGGGTGGTCTCCGGCAAGAATCAGGGAGGATCTTCGCGTGGGGTGAGGCTGCAGTGTGTGGTGTCTGTGTGAGTCACCTGGCCCGTGCAGTGCCAGACATGAAAAGCCACCAGAGCCGCTCATGCCGCCGCCCAAGTTTCGCAAAACAAATGACGACCCAGTCATCGACCGGGTCAAGGGGCCTGACCGTCGTGGACCTGGGGCCGGTGGAGGTTTGGCCGCACATCGGCCGAATCATGATGCGGAGCAGAGCCATGGCCAGGCCAGTCAGTGCCAGCGACGCCCTGCGTTGCACGGTGACTGACTTGGACCGTCGTGCCAGTCTCACAGTTTCGCAGGCCACGTGGCACTGGACTGGACCCGCTGAGGGGTAGGAAAAAGATCCGGTCGACAGAGTGCTGGCTTCCTCCCTCTCTTTTTCTTGCTGGCGCCATACACTCGTGCGACTGAAGTGCGAAGTGCTTTTCTTTTCTTGATGAATTCGCTAGCCTGCATCGGTGTGAACGACCCGTAGCCGTGAAAAGGTTGCTTATCAGATATGCGAGCGTACATCGCAATATCATCTGCAAGGCCGCTAGCCTTTAAGGTGTTGACCATGGTCTGTCGGCCTGAGTGCGACCGGATGGTTCGATCTGTGGGCTCCTCAAAAGTAGATCTCAGGCAGGAGATGGCTTTGCAAACTGTGTCTTTGTGGTGACCTTCACTGTTGCAGTCCATACGATCAGCTGAAACAGCAACCCTTCTGCGGGCCATCTCCATTTGTCCCACCATGTCGCCTTACCTCGCGAGCCTTTGTCCTCGGTTCTCCTCTTGGTCGCTCCTGTCTGCTTAAACTTAAGCAGCATGGCTTTGATTTCGGGAAGCATGGGCTTGCGCATCGCTTCTTGCCGCTTCAGCGGCCCGATGTACACCGTTGAAGCCTTGAACAAGAAGTCCTCTGCGCGCAATTTCAAAAACTCACTGATGTGCAAGCAGAGAATATGTGTCAGAATCAGTGCCATATACAACCAGCCTACCTTCATTCAGGACACGCAGCGTCCACGCATTCCACAAGCGACCGGGAAGCGTGGCAGCTTTTCCCGAATTTTTGCACTTCTTCTTTTTAGGTTTACGTCCCCTCTTCATGGGAGCCTTCCCTTTCAAGGGGGGCATTGCCTTTCATGGGAGCTTTCCTCTTCATGTGTTTCCCAGTCATAGGAGCTTTTGAGCCGAAATCTGCAACTATCATGGCAATGGCAGAATTAATTCAAGAGCGAAAAAGGGAAACACTTTGAGTTTTTTCGGGGAGTCCGCCTTCCCCGGCTTCAGGCGGACTCCCCCCCTGCGTTTCAAAAACAACGATCAACATGACCTGGGACCATCTTCGTCCACGTGAAAGTTAGAGTAGCACATATGGATGAATCCATACTGGAATAGCGTAGCGCCAAAATGTGTCCAACATGGGCGACGCAGTCCAACTCATCAATAGACCCAACATGATGTTCAAAACCTTCATCGCGCATGAAGCGCAAGATTTCATCATACAGAAAGTACCAAGTCCCCAGATCATAGCTTTTACCTTGGAAGACTACTGCGGTCGCACAGTATCCTAGAAGCCGCAAAAAGGTCGACCGCGCGCTTCCGTGAGTGCTTTGTCCGCGAAACGCGTGGAACCACAATGGCATGGAAAATGTGTGTGTGGCCGCCGGTCAGGTCAAGATGAGCGAGTTTTCAGGACCTATCGCCGGCAGAGGAAAAGGACAAGAAGCGCAAGAGGAGGAGCTCCTCCCGTGCAGCATCCAGCAAGGGAAAGCCGAACGGGCTGCCAAGTGCACCGTGTCACTGGGGCGATCGCGGACGGCGCATTCAAGTGAAGCAGAGCGACCTGCGCGACGAGGTGGACATCGCCGCCCTGGGCTTGAAAGGCGACGCTCCGAACTGGGCTTGCAAGCTGTTGGATGGGCGGTTTGATTCGCGCCGTGTCTACGGACCTCTTGCGGTGGAGCTGACCGGGACTTGGTCATGGTGCCCATGAGCTCGGCTAGGCCCCCGTGCGCGACGTGCCTTTAGGGCTTGCGCCTTGCTTTGCCTTCCAACCCGCTCGACATGAGACAGGTATAATGTAGCAGCACAGTTTTTTTTTTTTCGGTGTTGTTTCGCATTGTGTCGGCTAGAAGGCAGCAATGGCCCAAGTAAGACTTGTCCATAGACACCACTCGGATCTTGCGCGAGCAACCGATTGCAACTGCGCTGTGATGTGGGCTGCCCAGTTTGGGCGCGCCATATCTACAGACTACAGGTCCATACAGACATGGTGCGGTTTTGGTGGCAGCCGCATACCGTTCGTTAACTGGAAGATCCCGAAGAACGTGCCCGAGCACTAGATGTATGCCTTTCTCATGGCCTTCGGCGAGTCCTCCTGCGTGCAGCCATATCTCTTGTTAGATGTAATTCGGTTCGACTCGATTGTCTCGCCGACCTTGCTATACCTCAATTGCTTACAGCCGTCTTGCTGCGACCTTCGCTCTCGATGGAGCCCGCGGCGGAGCTTCGATGCATTGCCGCTTGCGCAGCTCTTGTTGGAGCCGCGCGGGGCGACGTAGAAGCTGCAGTCACGGCGGTGCGCTTCATAGAGCTTCGGATTCAGGGGATGCCGGCGACTTTCGCCCCCCGTCGTTCTGGCTTCGCTCCGCCGAGACCTGCAGTTAGCCACCCGAGACCTGGACAATCTGCTGGCCTACATGACGGAACTCGAATACTAATTAGGTTGATTCAATGCTCGACAACTGGCTCCGAGCGCGAGCACACCTTTTGGAAGCGCAATGAAATGCAGCCCGGCTGCGCTACCATCGCAGGACTGGGTCGCTGACGTCTGCCACAATTTGGGCGAGGTACATATACACACACACACCGATACATATGCTAATGCTACATCATCTATAATCAACCAATTATTTTCCGCGCTTGGGGTATTTCAGATGCAGGGGTCTGTGGGAACTTAGGTAAGCCCTAAAAGGTGGAAGATAGGGTGGCTTACCTCCATTCCTGGAGAGGGGTAGAAACAAAACACCATTAGCCGGTAACCGCTCAGATGCCACCGCCCCCTATTTTTATAGAAAGGGGGCGGTGCTATCTTCGCATTCGATCATCGGCTGCCACGCGGCCAAGGCTAAATCTTAAACCGTCCAAACGTTTCCAAACCAACACAGCCCTCTCTACACAAAAGTGGTTTGGAATGATTGTTCCTTTTGCAGGTGCTTGCTGTTCGGTAAATCTGCCCCCATGCAACTCTTGCTGCCCAAAGGGTGCTTGCTGCTCTTGGCAAGGCTTCATGGGATAGCAAGAGATTGGAGATGGTCCAATGGGACCCCAGGATACCCATGTCCTTGCTTCTCCAGTAACTCCGGTCCAAAGAGCTCCCTACTCTGGGCCCAGTTCCTTTTCTTCAGAGTTTGGGCGTAGATTTCATAGACGGTCAAACAGACTCTTGATTAATGTTGATAATGGCGCCAGCTGCTGACTCAGGAATTCGATCAGACCCTTGATGCTTGATTCATGCTTGTTTTCGCGATGGACACACAAAAAATTGTGTTCTCTGGCAGGATCTAGATTCCGCTGAGTCAACATTTTTGTTTGGGCGTGTTCCATAGCCCCACTTACCCACTCAGGGATTCTAATAGGTCACTGAGGATTGAACACATGAAACAACTTCTCCACTGAGGTTTGTCTCGCAACAGTCATCCTTGCTGCGACAAGAAGTTGGATAGCTTGCAAAGCGTTCGTTCTCTCATTGGGAACCAACCATGTCAGAATCTCCCTGCTATGCTTGTAGAATCTTGTAGATAAATTGTACAAGGGAGCAACCATGCATCATCCATTCTTGGTGGGTTCTTTCAAACTCACCCTCAGCTCACCAGCTTTCGCCATCAGGAGTGTATCCGCGCATCCCTCAAGGAAGCCAATGTCACACCTGCAGATATCAGGCTCCGGGATCGAGCATGGATTCCAGTATTCCTGGAGGTCCCTGATTTGGTCCAAGATTCCAGCCCACACCAAACCTGTAGTCCCTCGATGTGTGGGGAGTTGGTAGAGTTGGTACCAAGTCAGAAGCAGCTTGGTTGAAGGCTCAAGACTCCTCCTCCCAAAGTTCACGTCGCCTCGAGCGTCGTTGTGGCCGGCTCCAGGGTGGCGGAGCTCCACGGCACGGGGACCGCTTTGGGAGATCCCATCGAGGTGGGCGCCCTGCGAGGCGTCATGAAGTGCCTCGCTGGCAAGACGTGCGGCGAGACCCGGTCTGGTGCTTTTTTCTGTTTCGTGCTGTATTCAACGTATTCGCCTACAAGTTGTTCTCAGAGGCCCCACACGAGGTCACCAAAAGCCGCTTTTGTTCTTGAAACCAGTTTCACCAGATCGGAGTTTTTAGGTTTTTTTCGACCACCCACTTGGACGTTTGGAGCACCCTCAGCTTGCAGTGCCGGGCCTAGAGAGTAGCCTCGGGTAGCGGGCGCGGGCGCCGCGGGCGCTACCGTGCTACCGCGCCGTCCGAGGGTGCGCGACTTGCCCATCTTGAAGACCAGCGCTAAGTCGAACCTCGCCCATGGCGAAGCCAACGCGGGCATGGCAGGTGCCGGTGCGAAGCCGACTCCATCGGTTCGGGGGTAGCAGCGGGGGTGGTTTCCCACCCCGACTCCTTTGTGGAAGGGCTTTGAGGGGCGAAGCGTCGGACAGTTCGCAAGTGGGTTTGGGGGGGAAGCATTGGTATTTTTTTAGGGGGGTTGGGTTGACTCCATTGAGGCTGGCGATCACTTAGCTTCAGCATCAGGAGGGTGAAACACCCTGGTATCGACCCCTCTGTTCGAACAGTATCGGTTGCTGCTGTCCAAGTTTTCCCACGCTTGGAGGTCATATACCGTAACAAGGCCATCTGAAAATGCAATGGGATGCTGTGGCGAGTGCTGTATTTGGCTGCTAGGATTCATGTTGTGCCACGGAATAAGTTGGTTGGGGCTGGCTTAGTTGAAGTGTCACCTGGCTGGTTGGCTGGAATCGAAGCAGTTAGCTTGTAGAGAGGGCTAGGGTCAATTTCAAACTTGTCTCACGTAGGCCAACCAACAGGAACCCAAAGTTCTTGGGTCATTTTGTGCCACAATACCACTGCATTTCCCAGCTGAAGATTCAAGTGTTTCTCCTCTGCACTTCTCCCCTGCGCCATTTTTGTTAACCCATGGTTTGTGTGTGACTAAGTGAAGTGCCTGACACATCTTGAGACCATGCATGGAACAGTTTCATACATGTATAATCTACATACCCCTTTTATGACCCTAATGTGAGTATCTCTTCCATACATGGATGATCTGACGCTCTGACATCAGTTTGTTTGTTGCACCGCAGCAGCAAAGGATTTGCATCATGCAAAGTTGGATTTGTACTGTACGACGGGATGCTCCGGCAGGTTTCCTTTTCAATCCTTGGATTATCCCGCAAGACGCATGTTGATCTCTGAGAACTTGACCTCCAGGTCCATGATTTTATAGCAGCTAAGTGTTCATAAAACGTAAAACGCCAACTGAATGTATCAAGTAAGGGGGGATCTTCAGTCAAGTTGATCTTTGTTCCTTTTGTTCCGTGTGTCTGTGTCTTGCGCAGGCTTGGTGAAGTGTGTCTTGATGCTGAACCGGGGCACTGTTGCGCCCAATGTGCACTTCTACAGCTTGAATCCGCATCTGGATCTCAATGGCTATCCTTGCCAAATCTCCGTCTCTTGGCCCAGAAAACGCCGCCTTCGGCTTCACGGCGCCAGGATAGTCCCGGACAGTCCCCACAGTCCCACCGGTCACCGCTGGCACCCTGGAGTGACCGGAGGAGTCACGGCTGTCAGCGCTGTGAACCAGAGACAACTCTGTCGGCTGTGAACCCCGTGAATCAGCCGATCTGGTCATGGTAGAAATTCCCTTTTGTATCTTTTGTCCATCTTCTTGGTGACCTGTGACGTATGAAACAGCGCCTGCCATGTGGCCCAGCTGCCGTGTTTCTTGCAAGTTCGACCAAGTCAAGACTGCCTGGTGAGGATGACTCTCCGGGTGTTGCTGTTAGCATCCGCCCTTCGGTTCCCCCCATCGGTAGGTGATCCGGACTGGGCGGCCTGGACCGACTGTCCTGGTTCGATATGGAACAAACCGACTCTTTTTTTTTTCAGGAACAACGTGCTAGTATATAGATGTGCAGTGGTCTGAAAGAGGGAAGACCATCAAACTGCCTCAATGTCGATGAAAGGCACATTATGTCACATAAGTGTGCTTTAGTCTTCCCAATTGACCCACCCATCACAGATCTCCACATAAAACATCACGCTCTCTTTTGCCTCTGGGATGTGGACCCGCGGGAATTCCCGCGGTGTGCCGCGCAGCACAGGGAGAGTTGTTGGAGTTGGGCAGCACCAGCGGCTATGCGGGTGTCTCCTCTTTCGGCTTCGGCGGCACTAACGCGCGTGCGGACGTGTGGGGGAAAGCACAGATGGGGCAGAGATGCTCGGCAGATGAGCGAAGAGAGCGATTCGCCAGATCGGCCGGAGGTGTTTCATAAGGAAGTCAAGGAAGTTTCATGGTATTTTGAGTGAAGAAGTGGCTGAACCAAGCTTTTTTGCACTTTCTTCATATTCAAGTATTTTGGATGGGCTCAGATCGTTTGCTGGAGGTTTTTGTTACCTGACCAGTCTAGTCTATAGTTCACATACTGGATAGGCGGTTTCCAAAGTGTTCTCTTGTGGGTGGAAAAGCAAAAACAACCTGGCCTTCCAACTGATGTTTAAAGATCTTTCAATGAACCCGATCTTCGACCATACCTGGAGCATCGTTGCGTTGCACTGGTGATGTCACACTCCAATATCTCGTCCTCATTTTTGTTCTCAAGCGTCCGCATGAAATGCTCGGTGGAGGCCATCGCGGTCTGATAATCTGGAGGCCATCGCGGTCGGAACGTAACGAGGAGAAAGCTTCCATGGTTTGTGGAAGTGGACCCTCAGATCGACCCCTTCTAACTAGTTGGCACTTTGGATCTCGAGTTTTCCGGAGCTGGGGGGCGGTCAACACACCCGCTCGGCTCGTCCACGCGGGGCGACCACCAGGTTTGCACCGAAGAGAGTTGTGTTTCGGCACCAACCAACCCAGTGGTTCGGGGGTAGAGACCCGAGGAAAGGCACGGAAGCTGAACCTCAACATGCTGGCAGCTTGGCATGTCATTGGGTATTTGTTTTTCTGCAAAGAAAAAGGTCTGTCTCAACCCCAAGTGTTTGTTCTTAGGCAGCTCGATTCTTCCGGCTTCCTCAAATTGACCTCCCACCGCGTTATGTTGAAATCCAACTCAGAGAATGTCGGGATGTACCGTCTATCGAAGTAGGGACATCCCTCCGATTGACCAGAACTGAAGCTGCCCAAGGACATCAAACAACCAAAGACAGCCCGGGTGCATCCTTAGAAAAACGTGTGACAGGCGAAACATACGTTGGAGGCAGCTGTTGTTCCGAAGATGCTCTGTCTTGAACTTTTCTGACTGGGCTCAGTCAGAGCCTAATGGCCCACCGTAGGCTTTAGCGTGAGAGAAGATTTCTTGGAAGGACAGACAGACAGACAGCCTTACTGCGCTTCACGAACGATTCTCGGTCCGCCCAAGGAATATGTCTCAGTCCGGTGTCCGTGGCTTGACACTGCTATGCTTCTTTGGAGAGACGACGGATCACAGAAGAGGGAGCCAAGAGCGCGTCGCCCACGCGTTTCAGAGTGACATATTAGTGGCACCGCCCATCTTGGGCAGTGCAGATCAGCAATAAAGATTACTGTAACAAACGCAGGGACACGCGGCATCCCTCGACACGCCCCTGGTCCGTTCGATCAAGTTTGGGGTCCGAGTCAAGCGGACGACCGAGTCGAAGAGGACAGGGTGGCTTCTGTGGAGAAAGATGGTGAAACGACTGCAGACACTGGGGTTCTAAAAGAGATGAAGAGAACAAGAACTGAGGAGATGCCTTGGGAGCATGGAGTGGAAAAGCGCTTGTGCAGTACCATCCAAGCTGCTTTGGTTTTGCCAAGTGCTGCTTTTGGAGCAAAGGGGCTGGCGTCGAAGACTAAGACACCTTGTCACTATCAATTCTTGTTGGGGGACGTAGACCTTCGCCAGAGCCGCCCTCGAGCCGCAAAACTTCTGCAGTCCATGGTGAGGCCGTGACACACGCCTGCGAAGGTGCCAAGCATGTTGGCCATCTCTCAACCATCATGTTGGAAGTTCGCCGCTCTTCACTGTTCACATATGGAAAGCCCTTCCATTTGTAGTTACCTTGTGGGATTTCAAGGGGTGCAGAATTGTTTGCATCAAAGTGGGTTTCTGATGTGTTTGTGGAACTCAGTTGGATTCGAAGGTGCCAATCGTTCCCATGTGGCTTGACATCGATCTCATCTCAAAGCATCACCTCACACCGCTGCCTTGAGGCCTGGACTATCAATGAAGCCAGACCAAAGGGTACAGTTGTTCGTACTCCTACGACACCGAAATCTGGCAGGGAAGGGGTTCCGAGCCTTTACCAAATCATACCAAATCTTTATTTCTCATACTTTGAGGAGGTTCCTTCCATGACCCGCTTGGCCGAGGCGGCCCAAAGGCAGCGGCTACGGCCGGCAGCCGGCCTCCTGCGTGCGGGGCGAGTTCGATTCCTACGAAGTTTGTAGCCTTCTGGTGCAAGGACTTGGGACGTGGGGAGAAAACACAATTTGTGTGTCTGGGTGATTGAACATAGCAGCACCCATCAGCACCACGAGTTGTCGTTGTTTGGTTGAGTCCAAAAATAGGCCGAACTTGGGGTGTTGGCATGAGGTTCTGTCAGCATGGCTGTCAGTCGACGACATGCAGCGATCATCCCTTGGCCAAGCATCAGGTGTGCTCCACTGGGAACTTTCTACAGTGCAACATGCAGAAAAAAAAGCACAGCATCAGGGGTTTGTCACCTTTGGGTTTCTTCCTCTTCTCTCACGTTTCTCTGGCACCTCACCTGTCGCCTTTGATGCCGACCTGCGAATCCGAGGCCTTTGCTATGAGGGCTCCTACCTGTATGGCCAGCCTCCAGAAGCTGAAGAGGCTTTACCCAGTGGTAAGGTCTACATCAAAGGGACCTGGACAGCGTCTTGGATTCGAAACGGAAGACTTGGATGAGGCACGCAGAAGTGGGGATCAATGGATTCGATTTGATTCGAGCATCATGGATGGTGAAGCGCATGGATGCATATTAGACCCCATGTCATGTGCCCATGTGACCATATATAGACCCCCAAATTAGATAGAAGTTCGTAGATCCCCACGTAGAAAATGTATTGGAAACCATGCAATGACTATTTGTTTGGGGATCGCAATCATTATTATTGTGTAGATGGTAAGGGTCGGTGGATGATCCAGTTTTTATGGAGGCTATGCAAGGTGGTCATGGCTGTGGAAAGTGTGATTGGTCCGGCTGGAAGTAGACCCGCAATGTTGCTGACGACAGCTTGAAAGACTCTCCTTGGCGGAGTATAAACGAACACCCAAAAAACGGTGGATGTTCAAGAGTACCCATACCCGACCCATCTCAAGTCTTCCAATCCACTCATCCACATCTGAGCGCTTTTGATCCAATTTTGCACCAGTCTAAGACCTCAAAAAACTCGCTAAGTCTTGGACTTCCTCTGCCTCCCATCCAGGAGACCTCTGATCCTTCCTTCACTTCCGCGCCCCTCGATCCGTCACGCATCTATTTAGCGCCAGAGCGCCGGGGAGAGCGACCGAGGCCTTCGGTGACTTTGAAGAGATGAAGTTGAAGGTGCGAACGATCTGCAAGGGATTTGGGGGGAGCCATTTGGTTTGGACTCGTCCGGTGACTGGTAGTGGGTGACGTCCCGGTAGGTAGAGGCTTGGAATTTGAGGATCATTGTTTAGGCGATGTTCGGTCCGGTCGACGGTGGATGAATCTGTCAAATGTTGATTCATCAAGCCCTTCTCTTCCACCAGAATGGGCTTGCATCTTCAGTCCGGGTGGGGGGTCTAGCGAATTCATGGAGTTCATGGTCCCAGGTGGCCATGTCCATGTTTCAGAATCCACCTGTCTTACATCTCACACCCTGGTAGACGATCCCATGGACCCGGAAAACTACTGGTTGGTAGAGGAAAACCATCTTCCAGGACAGTCAGGACAGTCAGGGTCTATGTGAGTGACATCGGGAGTGTCAAGGTTTTTTTCCGTTCGCAGCCTGCTTCGGCCCGCCCCTCTCATTGCTCACCTGGCACCATGAAGCACGAAGCACCCGGTCCTCACGCGGCGGTCCGGGTGCTTGGAAGCTGTGTTCGGAAGGCCCGAAGGTGTAGTGCTGAAAAGGAGGAGGTCCGGGTCCTGCAGCATGTTATATATACCTCAGACACTGGTATATGTATGGTACATTGAGACCAACATCAACCACCCCAATATGGCATACATGGATATTTTTGGGGATGCACAGGAGTCTTGCTGTTTTTTTTGGGTGGAAACGCAACAGACTTTCTCTTTGGTTTGAGTTTCAGTGGTGATGACACAACTAAAAGGAACACTGGCATACAATGATTGCCCTACGGGGCACTGGAGCAGAGGAACACGTGTTCTTCCCGAAATACCCGGAACTCACTGGGCGTGAAGGATGAGTTTGCGCCAAGTTGATCAGTGTTTTTGCACGAAAAATACCATTGCGGGGTTCAAGACCAATGACAGATGATGACCTGATGTTTTCAGAGTGGATTCACGCCCAGTGCAGGGTGGCATCCACCTATGCACAGTGGATGTCTTGGTTGATGGACCGTCCGGTGGACACAGAGGACCTCTCTTTCATCCATCTGTCAGTGCATCCTGCGCGTTTCTGCGGAGGATGGCGTCTTTCACTTTCAGTTTCGTCTGGGAGAAACGCGCTGTGAGCGCTTTTACCTGGCCATGGACAAGAAGGTCAGGCTCCCGACACGGTTCGGTGGTTCCGCATCGGTGGATGGGCTTCACCGTGGCCTCCCGATGGGGGGCGCATTGGGGCGGGTGACCCGGCGTTCGCTGGCGTTCGGCTTCGCGAGGAAAAGGGAAGAACAACTCGTCGAGCGTTTCGCCGTTGAAAACTTGGTCCGAGGGCCGCTGGGAGACGCATAGACATCGGCGAAGTGAAAGATCCCAAAGCACACCCTTGGGCATGGGTGAAGTGTCGGATCCACATGCGGCTAGAGTTCAAAGCCTACCAACTCGGTGCCGTGCAGGACAATGGGACCTGACGGACCTGACACATGGAGCGAATCCAACGTTTTCCCATGTGGGTGTTTGGCCGAGGCGAAACCATCTCGAAGCTTTCAAGTTGAGAGACATTTGAAGATTCAGAACCTATACGCACCCAATATTGAAGCGTGACATACTCTCTCATGCAGCTAGCTGCATAGCCCCCCCAAATCAGTAGCAGGCCTCACCTTTATAGTGAAATTTGCTGAAATTCGTCCTTGGCCCAGGACGACAAGGCCATCTTCCCATGGCATCCGGCAGGAGCGGGCCTGTGAGCGATGGCGCGGGCTTCGAAGCGACGGGAGGTCGATGCGCAAGGGCCGAAGGGAGGTCGATCCGAACCGGAGCCGACCGAAGGGAGGGATCAGGACCGGACCTAGATCTTCCAACGAAAAGCAATGCATTTCTGGCCTGATTTGATCGATTTCAACGATGAACAGGCAGAAATTCAGCAATTTCTGCACAGTTTGGCAATATGGATAGGGACCTACGAAGAAACGCGCTTCCAATGGGTGGAGACCGTAGAGACCAAGGAAGCTGGGGGAGGGGCCCGTCCAGCCAGGTGAGCCCGAAATCTTTGGTCAGCTTTGTAACAATGATGGGGGATCCAGCGTACTGTACTTGTAATTGCTAGTCACCTAGTCGATTTTAGTCTTTTTATATTTGATTTATGTGACAAAGCCCATCCCTCTTACCACTTCTTGTGAGTCTTTCAGCAACATGTTGAAATTTGCAATCTGAATTGAACACAGTAGCCCCATCAAATCCCATCAATATTTGATGGAAAAGGACATCCTCTTGAACATCTAAAGCATTTTTATCCATATGGAGATCTCTAAGCGAACTGTGAGTGCTCCCATCTGGTGGTCCCAGACTTCCTTGCCCAAAATTGCTGAGCTCTCCGCAGTGCTTCCATTTGTGCTGCTTCGAGGAGGTGCGGACGTCCGCGTGAAGGGGCCCTGTCCCTTGGAATCCGACCACTACTTCTTCATCGATGGCCGAGATGAGGAGTGGCCTGAGGCAGGGCGGGCAGGTGAATGCAGGCGAACTCGCCAGGGCGGACGGCGGCCCAGGTGGCTGTGAAGAGATGAAGCGAAGCGGACCCTGTGGATTGTTCACAATGATTTGGCCCGACCATGAATGGGGAATGGAATGGAAGGGACCAATGAATTTCCAGGAAAACTTGCATTGTTTGTTTTTTCTTCACAATGCTACTCGTAGTGATTTGTTCAGGCTCCACATTGTTTAGAAAGGTAAGTTACAGTACTCTTTGCTGACTGACATAAAACTGGAACTCGACATTCCTGGAGCCCTGACTCCTGTCACCAATGGACTTTGTCCCACTTTCATGACGATGTCCAAGAAGAGCCCAACTGCTGTGTATGAATAGCCCGTCCTGAACCATTGCTGGGGATCATGAGACCTCATCACATCTCCATCGATTTATTTGGGGTAAACAAAGCCCATGACGCACCTCATCCACATCCATCGATATCTTCCTTGCTTCACTCCATGCAGTTCCTCCATGAATCCTCCTCGACTGTTTCCCCGCGCCTGGCGCCTTCCTTCGCCCAAGCGCCCCACGTCGCCCTCTGACACCGCGCGACTCCTCCAGGGATCGCTCATCTCCGTTGCGGCGTGGTGCGACGAGCAAAACGCACGACGGATCAGCTGGCGCAGGGAGCCAGAGGAAGGTGGTCCGAAGGCGCCTGTGCAGACAGGAGTCGGCGAGGGGAGGAGACGAAAAAACACGTGGGGACAGGAGACGTAGTTCACGCTTCATGTTGACTGTGGATGAATGCCATCTCTCCTCCATTTCGGTTCAAAAAAGCTCGTATTGGGGGGACCGCGGAAATGAAATCCACCGTCAACTCATTCGCGAGACTGGTGGAGATTGGAGGATTTGACGTTGCCAGATTTACGTGGTTTTCCTGCTGCTCAATGGAATGTCTTCCAGCAAAACCTGCGGGGTCGCCACACCCAGCTCCCGCTCCAGTTCGCAGAGTAGAGTTGGAGTGCTACTTCTTCTTTGCCGTCCCGACTCAGAAGGACATGTTGATGAAGAAAGACCCTTTTGGTCGATCCAGATCCATGAATCCCTTTGAAGAGCCATTTTCAGTCAAATTTGAGCAGCTTTGTTTTCCATGCTGATTTCTACATGGTATTGGGAAGACACCGGGATTCAATTTCCCATGATCTACTAAATGTTCTACATATTTCTGGGTCGGTGTCCTAGTCACAGTCTTCGGTTTTGTTTTTCTAACTAGCCCAATTCAGACATTTGAGGTGAACTCACAGGGGAAAAAGGACGTAAATCGAAGGGTGACATGATCGACAGCTGCCCCAGTCCAGCAGAACCTTCACTTCTCATTGAAATCTGTTTGGCACACTTGACATGGTGCATTTTTCGTTTATGGACCTCTTGGACCTCTTGGGCCTTGTGAAGCATAGATGCAAGCATGCAAATATCGATTTGAGCTCTGCTCCTCAGGAAATGCCCAGCTTTGCGCATAGCTATCAGGTCACAGGCCGAGCTGGGTCGAGGTGATTTCTGTGGTGAAACTGGGGGATGTTCCGTTGTGGCAGACTTGCCAAGGTTCCTAGGGAACCCACGGGTTCTTCACACGATGGGTGCCTGGAACTACTAGAAAGGCTGGCAAAGACGCTTACGTATTAGCGGATTCACTAAACTCTATCTGTTAGGGGGTGACTTTACATCTTTTGTGGTCATCATCTTGCTTAGGGATCTGAGACACGAGCAACACCCTTTGGGCCCAAGCACGAGGTTGTGAGCAAGTTCCGGTTCAGTCGCCTGGTGCCCAAGTCTATCACTGGTGCACCAGGAGCCATTTCACTCATGCCATAGCTCATGGGTGTAGCTCAAATGGGGGTACCCCCCGCCAAGCGGAAGTGGGTTGGCCCAGGCTCCAAGACACAGCCACCTGGCCAGGCTCCTTGACGCAGATGAAGATGATCCCAATGAAGCCGATCAAAGGCCTCCGGATCCTTGGCTTTCTACTTACTAAGGTGTTCAAAGGAGTTTTAGGGCAATCTTCAGCTTAAACTCAAAGGGTCTTCGACCATTTCTAGTATGTCTGGTGTTCTCTGGAACCGTAGGATCAGCTTCAAGGCAGGGTGAAACAGCTGGTGATCGAGATCGACCCTGGAGTGCACTTTTAGGAATCTTGGGACCCTACTTTAGGATCCCTTGGGATGCCTGTGCCTGATCTTTTGTGGCATTGACGGTCCCGCATCCCACATGCTGGGGGCGTTGCCTCACTTCTTTGACCAGCTTCCCGGTTCCACCCTGAGAAAACAGCCGGTTCCAAACAAAAGAGTCAGCGTTGGCGAAAAGGATGTCGTTGATTTCCAGTGCTAGTGGTTATTTGCTGTTGAATAGATTGTCCAATCGTAAAGTATGCTGGGGGTATCACCAGTCCTCCGCTATTGCTTCAAGAACACGGTGTTCTCCAGTGTACTCCGCAGCAGCAGCACCCCCACGCCTGCTTCTGATCCCTGATGCCACATGCCTTGAGGAATGACCACCTGATGCCACATGCCTCGCTGATTTCAGGAACGTCTTCGAGTATTCCACACGCTTCGGTCTCCAAAGCCACGAGACCTTCCAGTTTGTCCGCGACTACGATCGCAAGCAGATCATCTACCCTGCCAGGAGCAGATATGGAGACGGTGGAAGGCTTTGGAGAGATGTATTTGGAGGGATGTGGATGAGATAGGGGACGGAAACATATGGTCAGCCTTGAATCTCGATGGGGAAAAGTGAATGCCCTACAATTCCCTCCACCAACATGCCTTGGAGAACTCTGAAACCATCTATTTGGGCATCTCAGACCACTCTCATTCACTCAGACCATCCCTGGCCACCAAATCCTTCCCCTTCCTCCCATTTCCTGGTTTCCATGACCAGTCCTGGTTCGCTTCCCTTCATCGCCCGTCCCAACGACTTAGCTTCCCCATGCGTCCCCGCCGACACCCCGGAGGCCGGGTCGCGACCCGGCAGGAATCGACCCAAACGCACCAGCATTCCGGTTCGGGAGCCCGGAGACGAACGATCGATCGGCGGGTCGTTGATTGCGGATCGATCGATGCAGGGCGTTCCACCGGAGCGGAAAGAAAAGAACCGGCAGGATAGGACTGGCAGGAACGGCAGGCTGTTGGGAGGAACTTTCGATTTTGGGGAGATCCGAAGATCGAGGGTGGATGTGTGATATAAGTAGTAATTACTCATCACCATTCGGAAGGTTTTTCATTTTTTGATCCGGAGATAGGTCAAGGGTGTTTGGCCACTCGGATTTTAGACTCAACTTGCAAGTCACAACATGAACTTTGACCAAGAAGAGCCACAAACAGCCCCGAGATGCGAAGAAATCAGGATGAGGTTTTTGGTTTTATCAATGCCCTGTCCATGTCTCAGCCAAGATGTTCCAACAAGAACCTCAATGAGCACCAGAAGCAGAGCACCTCACTGATCCAGCCTACGGGTGCCAGGGCTGCCAATGGGGCAAGTTGGCAAGATCACACCAAAACCCCCACTGAAGAATCGATCTCTCATCTCTCCTTTTTCAACCTGATAAACAGCACGGACCTAGGACTCTCCCCCCCCAAAACCCTCCTGCGCTGCTCCTCACCCGTTTTGAGGTCCGCGGCCCGGACGCCGGCGGCGCCGAGAGCTTCTTCGCGGCCAGCGGCGCGCAGGGCGAGCGGCTCCTGCTGCGGCTGGAGGCGAAGAACGACGCGTGGGGCGGCTGCAATGCGTGGGGTGCATAGCGGTGGTATGTGGGAGGTGTAGAGGTGTGTGGGAGGTGCGTTGTGGAGGGTGGGTCATTAGATGGCTTAGGTGGGGTGGTTGAAGGTTGAGGCTTTGCTAAAGAGACCTCATCCTTTTGGGTGAAGCTCATTTGAAAGGTTTGGGGCTGTTGAAGCTTTGCCAAACGGATGAGGTTGAGGTGGAACCACCGAGCCATCGACCAGTGGAACCACCTTGTAGAGACTGACTCTCTCTAAACTCACCTAAAAGCTCCCCAACGTTTCTCAGAGTGCTTTTTTGTTCTTTCTTTCTTTCGCCCAGGCCCCGTTCCTCGCCTTGCAGGTGAAGAAACATGTGGGTTCCGAGACTGGCCCCGAAACCCAGTAGTAACTTAGTAGCTCCTTCCTGCGCCCCGGTTACCGGGTCAGGTGGCCGATGGCCACGTGACGGTCTCTGCCAGCTTCTCCTCGAGCGTTCGCACTTGGCATAGCCAGGAGGTGAGATGGGGAGATGGGAAGTTGGAAGATTGAGAGGTCTCTATTTTTTGTGACTCAATTAACTACACTGCCAGAAACAGACATTTCGAGAACTAGATACTACTAGACTACTAGAGTTGCTAGATGCTTTGAAGCTATTCAGATGCCGCATTTGTTGTGGGGCTTTCTCATTTTGGAGGATTTTCAGCCAGATCTCTGAGTCCATGAGGCCCTTTCACCGATCCTATCACTGGAGGATCTGACCGGGTGAAGAGATCACTTAATTAGAGGATAGGGATCAGTGACCTCCCAACGCCCACCACGAAGATGTCGCAGATCAGAGACTCAACAAAGGAAGTGACTTTGAAGGTCCTGGAACATGCACCAGGTTACTACTCTTCAGTTCACTTTGCAGTAAACTGTCAAAGAGGTGTCTCTGGATTTGTGCAACAATGGAGAGAGGGGGTGAATGAACGTTCAAGTGTTGTGCCATCGAGCTCTCGGTTTATGAACAACACAACAGCCAGATTGTTGAAGATCGGAAGGGTTTGACCTTTTATGGAAGACCTTTCAACCTTTGAACCTCATTGGCACACTGTCTGTCCAGAAAGCAGACGGACTTCGTCCTCCCAAACATGCCACATCACCCGGAACGCGGTGCCTGGCGGTCGCTACAGGGCCGAACGCGGCGCCAGTTCTTCGTGGCAGGCGCCAGACTCAATGGAACGGCCCAAGGGTTGGGGACCGATGCAGATGGTTTTTCTCCACAAAGAAGCCACCAGAGTCGAGGTCTCAAAAGAACTCCAACGGGTGATTTCCATGGGTTTTGCTGGTGGGTTTCGATTTTAGACTCACCCCCATCCTTGGTTCCCTCGCCAAGGTAGGGTCAATCACTGAGACTCTCGAACCCCGAAGCGGGCGATCGGATCGGGGCGAGCCCCGACGAAAGACATCCAGCGAGGCAAAGACGGATCCAGACGGATCCGCCAAGGAATAGCTTCTTGTTGTGCCCGAAGCTCTCCGAACACCCCCCCGCCGCATTCCTCAGCTCGCCGCAGCTCGCCCCATTCCCGCGCCAGGTACCTGGGCGGAGCCAAGTCTTCCGATGACGCCCGACCCGGAGGATCCCGACAGGCGAGGGGACGCACGTTCCACAGCGGACGGCGGATCGGCGGATCGGCCGGGGTGTGGCGGACTGCGGAATGCGGATCGGCTCCATGCGCGGATGTGTCCTGAAGAGGTGAAGGAGGACGTGGAGGTTGTGTCCAGTGTCAAGAGTTTCATAGACATGAATCAATGAATCAATACTGAAATATATTCGGGACAGATCAAGCGGATGATGGTAGACCGATATAGGGGGTTGTTCTTCTCAGGAAAGGGAATTGGACTTGGTCTCCACAGGATGATTGACATGTTCCTGGGGGATTCAAGAGTTTCTGGGATGATTAGTGGGATATTTCATCGCCTTTTTTCTCAGGGTGTGGTGACTTGAAACATCCACGAAGGTTCTCCTGATTTAAAGGGGCCTAGGGCCCAACAAGGGTCCAGGTACATGGCAAGACGTGCACACCCAGACAGCACGTGCACACCCAGACCGCCGGAGGAGTTCGATGGAACCATCGTCAACGGACACCGAAACCGATTGTTTCGATGGAACGTGAGTGGAGCGCTCGAGAGGGACCGGTCACTGGGTTGATTACTAGAGAGGATCTCCCCCCCACAGAACAAGCAAGAGGTCTTTGATACCTGGCAGGCAGGCAGTTGATGCCCCTCTCTATCTATTTGTCCATTCTCATCAAAAAAGGCCTCTGTCTGGTCTGGTCGGTGGCGTTGCTCAGGTTCTTGGCGCAGATGACCGTTGCAGCTCGGTCGAGTTCGAGATTCGTTGCGGCCTCGTTGTGGTCGTCTCCGGTCGCCCCGCAATGCGGTCGTTCCGTGCGCATGGAAGGTAACCACGGAGGACCAGAGAAGTGGTAGACCTTCTTTCGTTTTTGGGTGCTAAGAAAGAACAGATGTTGAGGAGGGAGAGAGTTTCTTTCCGCTGAAAAGCCTACTGCCCTCCTGCTTACTTTTGTGGGTGCTCCTCTTTTCTCTGGCAATCATGAAAATACAAATGCGCGGGTGAAAAGAGGCTATAGTCATTAACTGGAAGACGGGCAGGTCTTCGCTTCCGGACTTACATGGGGCTGGCTCACGCTGGCTCCTTCCATGAGCTGGACCCCAAACCTTAGAGTCGAATGGATGGATGGACATCCGTTTCCAGATCTGTGAGGAGCAGTTGTTCCCTTTTGTGAGTTTTTGTTGGGAAGTTTTTCCCCTCTTGCCAGGGGACTCCGAATGGAGGGGTAGATGGGTCCTGGGTCCGGCCCGGTAGAGATCAAGGACATTGGTGCTTTCTCTCTTGGTTAGGACCGCTCCGGTGCACCCTCTCGGCTTGATTGCGTGCTGGAAAGTGAGACCCCGCCCCCCCAAACGGAAGAGGCCATTGGAAGATCCCTTCTTGGCATTCACTTTCCAATTCTGGGGCACTGGGGCAATATGATTTTACATATGGTGGTCTATTAAAGATTTGCTTAAGGTTCTTTTTCTTCTCCCTCGAGAGGATACATAGATGGTTTCGGTGCTTGCCAATCTGCAGGCTTCGAGCTATGGCAAGGAGGAGTTCCAGATCTGGATGGATGAGGAGTTCCGCTGGAAATCGGCGTGGCGGATCGGCGTTGCCTCCCATGGTTCAGTGGATCGCATGGATGGCTCCGATGGCTCCACTGGGTCCAAAAAAGAGATCCGTTCAGAACCACGAAGTCCTCCAGACGCCCGTCGGAGCCTCGCGGCGCGATGCGTCCGCCAGGATCCCGCTCGCGCCCTCTTCCCGGAAGTGCCCAACGGTTCCAATGGCGGTCAGCTGGTGCTGGGCCCGGAGCGTGGGACGTCGGACGCTTGGCCGGGCCGTGGTGACGGAGGCGGAGGAGATGACGGAGGGTTCGATGGGTTTGGACGTTCGACCTTCGGAAGTTCTGGTTGGAAGGCTTTTGGAGTGCCTTATATAGAGCTGTGTCTTGATGGGCTTGGCACCAAGAGAAGGCAGCCATTCTGTTTTTGCCATCTGAATCGAGAGGGAGATCTATTGGATGGACCACTGGATTCACCCAGATGCAGCCATGTTCTTCCCACAAATGAACAGGAGATGGTAGTGTCCTTGCTCCTAGTAAGGCCAGGAGCCCCGTTCGTGGCTTCCTCGCTCCTAGTAGCGATGCCCTTTGCTCCTAGTAGTAAGATATAGTAAGCGTATATGATGGCCAAGGGATCCCCCGCGCTTGGGGTTGGGATCCACCGGCTCGAGCTGGCTTGCTTCCGGAAGCGACGTGTAAGCTGCGCACGGCCTCCGCGACGTTGTGACGTCGACGTTGCACGGGCCCAAGGAGAACAAGTTCCTCATCGATGGCTACCCAGGAGAAGCGTTCGTGAAGACCATTTCTTCCTCTGTCTGAAGACCATCTCCTAAACCACCGGATGGATTCATTTCCTAAACCGGGTGCCCCCCCCAAGTCTCAGGGCAGCTTGTCCTTCTTTGTTTTGCTCCTTTTCTTCTTCCTGTCAAGGACCGCCTGCATCAGAACACATCGGTGTCCGCCGTCCGCCTGGAACCCATTGGGCATTGGCTCAAGGGGGCAGATCATGTGGGCAGCAAAAAGAACATGTCTGACACTGTCTGACCTGCTTTCCTGACGCACCAGGAGCATCTTTCGAGATTTGTTTGGACTTGAGGTGTCACTCGGCTGATGGGATACGCAACGGAAGGCGATGGATGGGGAATTCGTCTCCAGGGACAGACCTGAATACACGCGCTTCACTGGCCATATGGCCATGCCGTGGTGGCTAGTAAGCATTCTGTTGATGCTTCGGGGTTCTCACAGGACAGAGCAGGACATTGCGACAGAGCAGGAAACTGTACTGGTTTCGGAGAAGGCTTTTCTGCGGTTCCAAAATGCCCGGTTCCAAAAGTCCCGGTTCCAAACTGAGTAGCCTACCTAAATGCAGACTCTTGATCAATCAAACCCGCATAGGAAGAGGTCTTACAATCCAAATGGGGGGGGCCGAGTTCAGATGCAGCCTTTGAAAGCCAGATCCTTGCGATCTATTTCGGAGACATTCTGATTGATGGTAAAACATCTCAATACATTCTCTCGTGCCAAGTACACACCAACGTACTCTAAACAGGGCACGTCAAGTCTTGTTCGCCTGGGTTTCACGGCCTATCATGAAGCGGATATTTCTAGACGACCTAAAATACCTAATGCTTCAGACACATCTGCCTACATGCTTAATTTGATCTTGACTCTCCCGCATAATCCACCGTTCCACACAGAAGTGGAGATTCCGCCACTACTGGGGGTAAGCTGTGAAACGTTGTTTGCCAGACCTACCAGAAATTCCGGTCCATTGGAGCGCGAACAGTTCACTCAGATTTCGTGTGGTATGCCTTGTTTCGCAAGAACTCTTTTGACACGATCACTCACCCTGGCCCGAATTAGTTCGATTTTGTTGCAAGATCAATGTCAATTCATAATTAGTGTGACCTGCCTGTTGATCTTTTGGACTTCCTACCGAGTAGTTGCCTTAATGCCTAGTTCGTGCCTTTTCGTAGTTTCCTTTGTACACTAGTCACTCTTTTCACCTGATCCCTCATCACCCACCCAAACCCGCTGGAAATCCAGCAAGGGAGGGAGTGGGAGCGCGGCTTGCAAGTCCGTGCATCCAAATGGGGGGGTATCTTCAATCAAGAGTCTACATTACCACCAGCTTCTTCCAAGTGACCTCTTTGGACTCTCTAAGTGACCTACCGGCCTTTTCGTGACCTCAAAGAAGGGGATCAAAAGGTCACTTGGAAGAATCAGGTGCGGCCGTTGTACATAGTCTTTGGAAGAATCAGCTTTTCATTTACCAACGGCCGTGAAAGCACACCGCGCCGTTGGTGCCGGAACGCCCCAGGTAGCAACAAATGGCACAAGGTCACCTGGCGAAAGCTCCCAGCAGCTCGGCGGACCGAACCGAGAGCTGGTCCCGCAGGTGACATCAGTTGCCAGAGGTCTCGGGAGGGAGTTCTATTTGTTTTTTTTTAATTTTTAGTTTACTTCATTATCTTGTTTTTTAATTAATACTAATTCATTTAAGATTCTTTTTGGCCTTTTTAACGTGTACAGATTAACATCAAGAACATCCAAGATCATCGTTGGCTGGGAAGGGCCTTCATCAAGGGAGTCCAAGCCGGCCGAGAAAACCCGCACTCAGGATCAACGGGCACTGCTGTGACCACGTGACGTGGGCGGTGCTTGGATCAAATCCATGGGCTAAGCCTATCTACTTAGTGAATCTGAGTCATACCCTAAAGTTTTTCTGCGATGACTCGCGCGATTTCCAAAGTTGTTCCAGCTGCTTTGGTCACTGACCGGAGCCCGAAGATGCTCATTGTTAGAGTCTTCGTGTTCCAGTCTTCTCTTGTTTCGAGCGCAAGAGGACGTGCGCCAGCTGTGGGTGCTTCGTCAGTCCTCTGGAACAGCGCCGGTGCGTCCGACATCTCGCAGCGGGCCCGACGTCTCACAAGCGCCTCACAAGCGCCGGCCGAAGTGGAGACATGATGCGGTGGTATGTTGTGTTCTTGCTCAAAGACATCAACCAGCTATGGAACCATAATCATCCATGGAAGCATCAAATGAATCAAGAAGATCCTCTTCCACACCGCTTCTGCAGAAAGCTCTGTTGTAAGGAACCACAGAGTTTGGGCAGTCCTTCCATTTAACACTGCAGCATTTCTGGGGGTGAGAATATTCCGTGTCTGGTGTGAGCCCCGAAACAAAAATAAACACCGGCGAATCAACGATCTCATGCAGTTCATCTAGCATCCCACAGAATCCCAAAGAATGCTCTGGTGTTTTGGGGTATCACTTGATGGTACGTGCATGTGGGGCTCAATTCCTTGGGTTTCTTCTTTTCTTTCTTTTCCGAAGGTCTCCAAATCTGAGGAAGGCCTCCTGGTTTGGGTGGGCTGTGAGAGAAGCCGTGCCACCGGGGGGCGGGGTGCACTGTGATGTCAGTCAGAGTAACTGCCACCCCAGAGACATCCTGTAAGGCCTTGGAAGAACGGGTCCGCACCCAGATTTGGAGAAGCTTAGACATCTTAGGGCAGTTTCAATAGGCTCGGAGAGTGTTTGACTTCAGAATGGCGAGCAATCAATGTAGAAGAGACCTCTTTGTGCAACGTTTTCCGGAAAAAAAACCAACAAACAAACAACACATTTGAAGATGGTGAAACCAAAGCCCAACTGATTGTCCCAGAGGATCGTTGCGAAAAACCGAACCGTCCTCTTCTTTCCGCACCTGCATGATGTCTATATATCCCCAACAGAGTTCCCCAAGATGCATCTTGTAGACCATGTTCACAAGCAGAAAGAACATGCTCGTGACTTTCGCACTGATCTATGCTCGTACCAAATAGGTCTGTGTGATCTACCCCTCGCACTGTTTCCAGGAGGGTAAAATCGGCGACGGCAGAGATCTATGATTGAAGATAGTGACACCCAGTTTCGCAGTTTCATCGTACAACTCCCATTCTTCGTTGGTTTCTCGTGCTCCACATGTTGCCCTTCGGCCGCCCGCCACGTGCCTCTTCCACGGAAAAAACAGGACCGTTCGAGCCACCGACTCTTCCGGCGTCCGCTGGGCGGAGGTAGGATCGCACCGCTGTGACGCAGGGTCCATGGACAACTCCACTGCGTTGAGACCCACTGCTTTGGCCGGATTTGTTTACGTTCGCTGAGTTGGAATGGATGCTGAGTTGGGGGAAGAGCCGAGCAAGAGAGAACCCTTTTTTGATCGGCTCGTGCAGGCGAACTACGTCGATCATTTGGATTGGATCAAGGGGTTCATGTCCTTCATACACTGGCATTGGAACAAGAGTGTCTTTTCTCCATCCGAAAACATTATATAGTAATAAAGAAATATATATATACCTATATCTATAGAGAGAGAGACCCCCAAGTAGATAGAAAAGTAGATCCCTACTAAACATGTATTGGGAACCGTGCCACTATCTATTTGGGGACCCTGGGGACCACTATACATCGCTAGAATGTTTTGTTTGCACCCAATGGTGAACCTGAAGGACAGCATCCACCAGCTACCAGCTCTGAAGGTGGCATCTGCCCCAAGCACTTCTGCAGATTTCAATTGGACCTGCCAAAGGGCTCCAAGTCATTGAAGAAAAGGCCCTCATTCCTTCCCAAACAACTTAAATGTATCATCATGCATCACCTTCTTCGGAACCTCACTTTGCCACCCAACCCACGTGAGCAGCGGTTCACCATTTGGTCTCCACTCAGCACTTGTGCCCTTGACCGCAATGGCCTTATCCTCCGGCCCTGCCGGTGGCCTGGCTGGGGACCTGCTGCCGTATCAGAATCAATGCTCCTTGCGTGATGTGGAGTCGAACGTCGCTTGGGCAACCAGCCGGGAGCCACCGGAGGGTCAGGCAGCCGGCGACGTTGAATCGGTTGGACCCTGTGGCTGCGCTTGCGCGATTCTCCCAATACCCTTGGTTGTTAATGGTTGTTATAGTATGCGTGGATCGTTCCTGACCTCAGAAGCCCCTGCATTCCTTCACTTCAGTTCACATCCCAACGAGACCAGACACCTCAGCAAGGTCTACCTAATTATAGATCTGGTGGATCAAGACCAACCCCATACTTTCATCTCCAAACCAGCCCTGAGTTCCACCTTGTCCCATCTAGAAAACATCATCCCAATGAGATCCGCCCCAGATCGACCCTTTTAAGGTCCTCCTCCTGTCGTTTGGAGCCATCTCACCCTTTTGACATACCCGCTTCCCACCCAGCTCACAGATCCCTCCATCCTCCACTCTCGGTCGGACCTGTTTGCCCACCCTGCTCACCGCCTGCCCCACCCCCCGGTTCTCCCCGTGGTGCCGAGCCCGGAGCTCAGGTCGATCCTGCGAGCTACGAGCACTTCATCGAGACTTTGCGCCAGGGCTCCGCGGGCTTGTTGCGCGTGGGCGCCGCCGCGCGGGTGCTGCAGCGCGAGGCGCATAAGACCTCGACCTTCGCCAAGGCGAGGGGTGAGAAGTGAGAGCGGTGAGATGTTCCATAGTTCTTTTCTGTTTGAAAGGGGGAGTTGCTGGGGGGGAAGACCCAAAACACGTAGATGTGGGTGGGTGGAGAGTGACAAGACTGGTGGCTTTGGGATGGCTTGATGCGGTTTTCCAGGGATGTGAAGAGAATGATTAAGCTATCCTTGCACTGAGACTAATGACTGATGACCACTTCCAATTCTTTCAATGAACATCCCCAAGCAAAACCCTTGCAAAAGCCGTTGGGTGCCATGGCCCAACCCTCTCTCCCTCCCTGTCACTTGCCCCTTCCAACCTGTAATCAACCTTCACCTCCCTTTCACCCGCAGCGAACACCTGCGCCCCACCACCCGCGACCCCCACCGCTACGCCCGCCGCAGCCAGGCGGCGTTGGGCGCCGCGACGTCCATTTTGGACGACCCCGATGGCACGCCGGGCGTGCTGGCGAAGCGCGAGACCCAGCGCCGCTCGGCGCGTTTTGATCTCCGCTCGCGTTTTTTTACTTTCTTTTAGCGACTGGTGGTGCCCGAATCATTGAACTCATCTTGCATCAAGCGGCTACTCAGTAGGTCGCTGGCAAAGACTCAACATTTTGGGTCTTTGAGGGGTAGCCAAAGATTTAAGAGAAATGAACATATTGCAGCGGTTAGGACTTACAGATTACAAGTTAGAAAGTGAGTGTATGGCTTGGGCAACCTGCCTGGGCCTGGAATGAACATGCCCAAGATGCCCCAAAGCATCAGCCGTTCCTGGTGATCATCAGTCACCCACTCCCAGCATGGAACACCAATGGATCCCCCCATCCTGGCTGGATCCAGCCAGGGTCGACTCCTCACTTGCCTACTAGTAACAACTGCCACGCTAGTACGCTAGTAGTAACAAGTGCCTTACTAGTAGTAACAAGAAGCTATTTATTTTAATTCTAATAGCTTCTTGTTACTACTAGTAAGGCACTTGTTACTAGAAGCGATGCACTTGTTACGTTCGTAGCTTCTTGTTCCTCCACTCCACCGGAGAAAATAAGGCTCCACCGGGCTCCACCTCCGAAGGTCCTCTGGAGGACGGTGGCCCCTCCTCCTCCTCACGAGCGGAGTCGTCGTCGTCGGCGAGTCAAATCGCCACGAGCGACGGAGCCGAACCGACGCGAGCGATGGCCGACGCGTTCGTTCGCGTGGTGCGGAGAACGTAGCGGAGAGCGTCGCGCCGTGGACGGTGCGGAGTGACGTTTCTTTTTTTGGACGGAGTTATATACATAGTTGGACCGGGAAAGAAGCCTTTTTTTAAATGTGGAGCCGATCTGAGTGAACATGTGGTGTGGATGTTTCGAAGATCTGCGGAGATCCATTGAGGGATTCTAAATCGATTCTCGATTGTACGGAGCAGCTTAGCTGGTTTCTTTCTGGGTTAATTAGGTTGCTGATTGCAATCACATTGTTTAGGTCCTAAGGCCAGCTTTCAGAATAGACGTTAGAATAGATAAGAGAAGCGAAGATGCGTTGTCCATGGAAACGCACAGTGTTATTGGCGTGCATTCCCTGAGAATGAGCGGGCTCCTATTTTCAGCGTTAGATTTCCATCATTTTCCAGCATTCTGCGAGTTCTGTCAAGATGAGAAGGACCCCGCCATAGGCTTCGAAGTTGCGGGCAATCCCCAAGGGGCTGGACGGTGTGGAGTCAAAAAGAAACACGGTTCCCGGTGTGGAGACGACGGGTCCGAGAGCACCCTCCGACCGACCTCAGATCCACCGTCCTACTCTCGACGGACGCAGGACTCGATCAACGAAAAACGGGGACCGATCCATTCTGGAAAACGGGGGAGCTGTGATGATCAGTCTCCATGAGTACCTCAAGTTGCACTTCCCCTCAGTACCTGGCCCTTTGTTTCCTGCTCGACTCCAACTCATAATTGCGGACCCCCGCGGCCGGTTATGTTCGGGGTCGAGATCGAGGTTATGCCATCGCCTGGTGGAACCGCTACTTCCGGGACCTCGCCAAGTACGAGCCGCAGAGGATCCGTCACTGGGCCGGGTGCCGAGCCTCTGGTGGTGTGAAAGGATGGTCGTCACTACTGAAACTCTCCTTACCTGATCAAGAAAACACAACTCATGGGTTTCTGGGGTCATTTGGACGGTACAAGCCCCCAAATCTCCATGGAGTCTTGAACGGATCCAACTCCTTTCGTCTATTTGGCCGCCGGCCGGAGCGGGAAAGAGAGGAGTCGCCCAGCTAAGGAGCCCGACGGAGCATGGCAGATGCCAAGGCGGAGAAGGAGGATCTTGATTCGAAACTGATGCAGCTGCAGTCCATCAATAAAGATGAGTTCAGGCGAAGATCTGGGCGTTCTTTTTGTGTATGGGAAGTCTTTGGAGCCGAAGGATTTGATGAACATCCTCGGGTATTGCGTGACTCATTGGTGACCCCCCAAAGCAATCAAATCTGTTTGTATTTGTATAAGGGCTACATCAGGGTCTTTTGAGATTACTACGTTTTGGGAGTGCCTGGGCCTACCCCTGAGTCTTGAGTCCACACAAGACACATGGGTTGCACCGACCGCATGCAACCGACCGCCATCCAACCGACCGGTCGGAAGCGACTCCTTTTCCGTGAGGAAGCGCTTGTCGGACCAGCGCGCGGACCTCAAAGAAAGGGAATCCGATTTCCAGTCCAACACCCAGCCACTTGGCAAACCACGGAGGATCATGAACAGAGATCGCTGACGAGAAAAAGTTGGTTTTGACTGAACTCATACTTGGCTGTTTTTTGAGAACGGATGCTGACCATTTATTTATATACTGTTTCATTTATACTGCATACGGAGAATTGGACAACGGGACTCCAGTCCCGGACCGAGTCACGACTCCGGATGGATCGAACGGATGGATCGAACGGATTCCGGTCGACTCTCGGGGAGGATTCGAGTCGACGTCACGCTGCCGACCCCCCCAGACGAGTTGGTTCAAGATGAAATCAACAGGAAAAACGGGTGAAACCGGGCCTGAAACTGCAGCGAAACACCCAGACTTGGACAACAGAGAAGAGATGAGAAGAGTCTTGAGCAATCTGGAAATCCAAGTGATGAAGGGGTGGGGATGGTACACAAACATTTAACAGCCACACGATTCACCGATCACCCTTCCGCCTGACGGTGTGTTCTCATTTGGCACTAGATGGCGCAGCACAGTGACACATTTGGAGACCAGACCAACGATGCCAGATTCTGCTTGGTGATTTGTTGGTCGACGGCTTTGTCATGTCGGTGTGCAGCAGAAAAGACGGATACCCTGCAACCAATGGGTAGACTAGTCTATCTTCTTCTTCCAGGAAGTAAAGCTAGGGCCTAGCTAGGGGTCTTCCTATTCTAATGCACACCCATGTTGGTACGATCATCCAAGGACCAACTTGCAGATGAAGCTGCAGATGGCGGAGGCCGAATTCGCGGCACCCGACGAACCAACGAAGGGAACCGGACCAAGCACCGTTGGCGTATTTGGGTGGATGTGCTTGGGGAAGAAGAAGGTCCCTGGTCCTTTCCTTTACAGAAAGGAAACATCAAAGATTGCATGCACTTTGGAAGGTCACTGTTCCACCAAGGATGAAGAGGAACGACGAACAAGTCCAATCTTGACAAGTTCTGACATTTACATAGACTGTGAATGTTTGACCAGAACTGAACACTAAGTTGCCATTGTGCGTGTAGGGAACGATATAGCAACTATAGTTGGTATTAATGGACCTTTCTCAACAGTTGGTTTTGTTTGAATTCCCAACAATTAGTGGGGGAGGTTCTGAAGCTTTGTTTCGACCTTGAGGACATTCCTATCGACCAGTTGATGAACGTGATGTACCATGCTGCACCATTGTTAGGTTGATGGGAATGCCGGAAGTTTGTGTTGTTGGTGTGGGAGTGTGTCCACGAACAGTATGTTAAGTTCAGGTGTGCCGAGACCCAGCACAAGGTCTTCTTATTGAGTTCCACCACCTTCTTCCCTTCTCCTGGGAAAGAATCTGGAAAGATATGGACAGATCACTTTAAGACCATCGACCAAGCCAAGAAGACCCACTTCTTCCCCAGTTCAACCCTGTGGTTCTACTTCGGGCGTCTGCCAGAAGATTTCCACAGTTTCCGCAGGGGGCCGGGAACAAGATGGCGGCGGCGAAGTATCGCGACATGCTGGACGACTACTGGGTGAAGCGGGAGAGAGAGCAGGCGGTGATCCAGGAGCCCGGGCTGCTACGGGCTGCTACGGGCTGCTGTCTCTGTTTGGAGCTGGAACCGCTCGCTCGCTGTGACGAGCGGTGTAGGATGGTGTAGGGGTCCTGGAGAGACATGACATGGGTCAGAGAATACGAACAGGAGGGTTGGGCATGGCTTGGAAAAGCTGTTCTTTGTTTGTCCCTGTCTTCAGGCAAGCTTTGACCCCGTTGAGCCACCAGGGTCCTTGGTTTAGATGGTAGGGTTTAAGATGGTTTAAAGACATCCCCAGTTTGACAGTCGTTCCCTAGCAACCAATCAGCATAGACACTTTTGCTTTTAATTGGACCAATCCCAGCCAGTCATGGCTGCCACTGCTCCAATCACTTGTGGTCTTTTTTCGTGTTCTAACTGGCGGAACCCGAACAAGACAGTAAGTCCATCAGTTCGTTGAGGTTCGAACCTTCAGAGATTGGTAAGGTCTGGAAAGAGGTTGGTAGGACTGGTAAGGGTCCTTACCTTCCAGATTGGACCGTTTGCCCTTCAAAAAATGTCGAGGTTCCCCAATCAGAGCCAGATCTGAGCCAGATCTGGCCCTTTGCAAAAGCACTTCTTTGTAAACCGACCCAATGGTGCCAGGTTCTTTTTCTAGGGTTTCTGAAAGACCTTGCTCCAGGAGATCAAGGAGGATCTCACAAAGCAGGAGACCTTCCTGAAGAAGTTGCCTGGAGCAACCTGGCGCAGTCTGCAGACCAGTCTGCATGGATCGTATCCACACTAAGTTCCAAGCCCACACGAGTCGATCCGATTGCGAGGGATCTTCAGGAAAACGAGCCCATGGATTTTTTTGTTTGGTCGATCCACTACTTGTTGGCTAACTCTGAATCTAAGAACCTACTTCTAAGAACACAACCCTTTGGTCTTCCCATTTGGCACACCGACGGACCATTCTTGGCCTCTTGCCTCTCTGTCCGTCCCGGTGAACGCGAAGACAAGACGCCGCGCCGCCCAGGAGATCAAGAGCGCCCAATCCAAAGTGAAGAGCGTCAGCAAGCGCTACGAGAACGCGGCCGCTCGGCAGGGTGGGCGAAGGTATCGAAGGATGGTCGAATTTTGCTTGGGTTGCGTTGCTTCGAGTTTACGGATTTTCTTTTGGAAGGGCGACTGCATTGGAGCATTTGAGATGGATGAAGATGAATCCAATGTTTCCACTGAAGGGTTGACCCAGATCCAGTGGCAGTTGCGGCAGTTCGTTGAAAAGCCAGACTTTGACATTCTTTTCAGGGGGGGTCCCACATGGTTCCACCTTATGTGGGCACCCCTGCCTGGTGGTTGTACAACTAGATGAGCCTCAGAAGTGTGGGGAACAGACCAAAACATTCAGAAGGACCAAGGATGGCACTCCTATGACTCAGCATCCATTGTCCTTCCGGCAGTGCCCTTCACTCAGCTGGTTTCCGGATACATACATCCGTGCTCGAAGACGGTTCCGTTTTTGAAGTGAGCTGTATTCAGCTTCCGTTTCAGTTGACACATCATCCATGAGAAATTAAATCGACTTCATTCACCTGACCAACAGGCCTTTGTAGTGGCCGCCAACAGGCCCCTGCTTCGCCATGGCCATGACAATCCTCACCGGTAGTCCTCAAACATCGCAAGCTCCTCTTAGGGAGTAATCTATAAACTCTATGCCAAAGAGTCTTAAAGCCAGAAAACGTAGTGCCTTTCTTTCTTGGATTTTTGTTGGTTCGTCGGATGACATGACATGGTCTCGCCGAACAGCACGACGACCCAAAAGAGGCCGCGCACGTACTCGGCAGATTCAAAAAAAGAGCATGTTTTCCACTATACTCAGCAGTCAACTGAGCCAAGACCAGCTTCTTCACTTCGTGACCTGTTCTCCCGGATCAAGACGACAAAGGGTCACGTCTTGAAGAACCGAAGTATCGGTAGAAAGTATCAAGTTGGGCGTGTTTTGACGTGTCCAGTGTATGTAAAGTTAGGATGTTTCTTTTACATGCAACTTCGGCCACTCGCCAACTCGCCCAGCGTCGCCCTGAGGCCAAGCGTTTGAGCCAGATTAAGGGGCATCTGGACGGAATTCCGCCGCGTCGAAACGCGTGTGCCACGTGGCACACGTTTATGACATTGCAGGGGCGGTTTCAGTGAAAGTTTTACTGTGAGGTCAGTGTAGATCGGAGTGAGTCGCACAAGCTCGATTGGCTGATCAAGACTCCCATTGGAAGACACATATGACAAATGAAGAAACCAGGGTACAAGGAGGTCATCATAAACTCCGTAGCTTTCTCTTTCTGTGTTTATGTGTGTTTTGTGTTATGCTCTGAAACATCCAAACGAGTCATGTCCATCTGCAGGTTCCCTGCCACGACCGACATGACTCGCATGGTTTACATGATCGTCCGTGGTGTGTTGGCAGGAGGAGCTCCAGCTGAACATGCCCTTGAGGCCGACGAACCCCTACGAGAAGTTGCCAAAGGCCAGGCACTTTGGTTTCATGTTTCTTTTGAGGGTTCACAAGGGAGTGATGACAGTGATGAGGTGAGATGGGTGAGTTGAAGATCTCTTCTGAAATTGATGGCCCGGTCGGTAAGCAAAGCGATTACACTGGCGGTGTCCAGTGTGTCGCTTTGCCCGACCGGTAAGCGGATTTTCGGGTCCTTGGGGCCTTGTCTTGCATGAAAATCCCTCAGCGAACTGACGGGAAGGCCTGAAAGCCAAGGGTCCTTCACTTTGCAAAACATGTCTTGTTCGGAACCATCAAGGATCTTTGGAAGCAAGCGCTTGTCCGCAAGCCACTCCAAAAGCCAGAAGCAGATGGGTGGACTGATCAACTACAGCAAGTCTCGTAGAACAACCTTTGGGGATTTTGCAGTAGGAAGTCCAAAATGCATCGCATCTGACATCTGAAGTTTCATTCATAGGACTCTGGCACCAACTTTTGCTTCTCCATGAAAGACTTATACAACATGTTCGTATATCTATATAGTTATAAAAAGGTTATACCATGTTATAACTATAGAATAAATAGTATATCTAGTTAGAAACAGGTTATAACATGTTATAACTAATATAGGAGAAGCCTTCGGGGTCACAACCAAACTTTGCCCAACCAACCTCGGCCGAGGCCAATTGCTTCCGCCTGGGCCGGACGCCGGTCGAGGCGGGCGCCGGCGCCATGGGTGCGGCCTTCCTGGGCGCCGTGGGTGAAGAAAGCGCGAGGCAGGAGCGACGGAGGGGTGGATGAGGAGCACCTGAAGAGGTCATGTTGCCGTGTGTCACAAGAAGGTGTAGAAGAAGGTGATGCAGAATCTTGATTAGCAATCCCTCTATTTGGATTGTAAAGCCTCTTCATATGGGGGGTTCGTTTATCAAGATTAGTCAAGATTTGCATTATGTTGCACGCTCCTCGATGTGGCGCTGGCTCAAGTGATGTATCCGAGCGATCAGAGCGCAAATCCAGTGGCGCTTGAGCGTGACTTGCGATGAGCATGAGGCCTCTTGGGGTTCCACAGAAATCACCACCGTGCACAGCAGAAAGGCATATATAGTTGGTTGCAAACAGACCGTTTTGAGGGACTTGACAAGACGGGAAGAAGTGTGTGGGTGAATGGGGCAAGTACCGATTTGCAAGAGGATTTGCTTTGTTTCATCCATGTTGATGGATGTTTGTCATCCTGAGGAGGTCACCTTGGGGGGAGCAGCAGAATCAGCTCTATATCCCTCGTAAGGCAAAATAAGTTCATTTCAGCCTTTTTTGGGTGTGCCATCACCATTTTTTTTTGGTGTACTTTCATCACTATTACCTGTCACCATCATTTGGACTTCCAAACAACAAGAATAAATTCAAACCCTCAAGTGGGATCTTCGCAACAACTGGCTCCATCTTTTGCGCAACACCCACCAGCGCTGCTATGGTCACCATGAAAGGTCCGCCAGGGGGTGAAGGTGCAGGAGGAGACAAGTCACGTGCAAAAGGCAACAAAATTCACTACATTGAAGAGATTGAAAGCACTGATGACAAGGCAACAGATCTGCCAAAGCATACTGCTACCCCAAAAGATTGGGCGCAGGAGGGTGACCAGCCCGGCGAGGCGCAGACGGAGAAACCTGCCACCCCACGTGCTGGCCCAAAGGAAGCCTCAGATGCCCACACCAACGTGGACATAGGGACCCAATGCCAAGGCGGTTCGAACAGCATTGCTTGCAATATCAGCGGGTACCGCTGGTATTGCAAGAGCCCCGATGGGCACTACCCCATCAAGAACAGTATTTTTAGGTTGAATGGTCACCACAGAAATGCAGCAGCTTTCTCAAGGCGTAAGGGTTCAGGTCAATATCAAAAAAACCATCTAAAAACGCCAGCAACATCATCTAAGACAATCGTGGACTCTGGCAGCAGCAGAAATCAGAAGTTTCATGTCGACCCTTGCAGTAGCCTTGCCCCAGCCATGGTGAAACACATTCACTTAAGGAAGGACAAGAAAAGGACCAGACGCAGTGCAAGACAAAAAGCAGAGATGGAGATTGAGGACACTGAAGAATGAATTGCCAAGCACGGACGGAGCCCACCAACTGCCAAGTCGGGTTCGGGTGGACCTGGGGACCTGCGGAGCCCTAGTGGGTCGAACCGTTCAGCGTCTCCGTTTCACGTTTGCCCATGTTATGGTCGCCGGGGAATAATCAGTGCAGGTCGGCGTGTTGTGTGTTTATAGCCTGTAAACGCTCGGCAAAGCTTTAAGTAAAACCCCGCACCAAAAAAGGACGATGGCATCCCCAGAAAAAGGTGAAACGACTTGAACGTGCCTTTAAGCATGAATAGTAATTCTGTATCTTCTCAGGTCATGCAGGTTCCCCGCGAAGCAAAAAAACCCTGCAAGGTGGCCGGAAGCGTCGACGTCGATGTCGAGGACCCTGGTGTGCAGTGTGGTGGGGGAAACGATCGAAGTGCGCAGTGAGGCAAGGACTGGGTGGACTGGGCAAGAACCCCGTAGAATCCAAGCAAAAGAACGGCTTTGAGGATCAACGTGCATCATCTTTAAGAAGATGTGCTTTTCAAAATTGGTCAACCATCCGAACAGCGTAAGGAGGAAAAGGCGTTAAACGGGGATTCGCGCGAGGCACATAAACCCGGATTGACAGCCATGATTGAACATGAACACATGATGAATTTGGAAAAGTGTCTGACACACACGTAAACTTGACAAAAAGCTGCAAATCAAAGTCCTTTCTTGTGTTTGACATTAATATTACGTAGTTTTGTGCAGGCTTTTCATTATGATCGTTATCGTTTTGCACCAACCATGCCAGTGTCCATTTCTTCTTCCAGTTTCTTTCCCTTGCAGGTCCCAAGCGACCTCCCACGCCTGGGTTTGGTGCGCCGCACCCCACCCGCCGCCGTCCATGGTGGCGTCGATGCCACGGTGTTTGCGGCCGGGAACCACACCGCGCGGCACACCGCGCCGCGGGCGACGCTGCGGACGGCGCTGCGGCCGGGCATGGGACGCTTGGAAGCAGTGCAGAGGGCCCAAGAGTGGCACTCCGAACAGCTACAGGAGCTTCAAGGCGGGGCTGAGAAGATGCAGAGCATACTGATGACGACCTGGGTCAAGTGTTAGCGAGTCAGAACAGGAGTCAGAATTGTGGAGATTTCAAGTCGACGGTTCTGTTGAGGGTGATCAATGATAAGGATTGTGAATTGATGTTTTGTGCCCTAGATATCCCTGTGAATCATACTTAGAGTTCTTCCTTCGGTCGGACACGCAGGGAAGTCCAAGTCAGAAAGCTTCTCCTCAGTTGGTGCGTGGGGTCCCAAGACATGTTAGCACCAGCATCATGGTGATTGGTGCCGTCGAGGAACCTCCGTCGAGCAACCTCCGTGGAACTCTCAGGTGATGTGCGAGACCTCAAGCAGATGCTCCAGGCCTTGGCACACCAAGCTGCTTCACGTCGGCCTTGGGACCCTGCCAACACGCACACGCACACGACGAACACGGTGGATGGATCTGGATCTGCAGAGCGACTGGGGTCTCTGGGAGATTTGGAGGCGGATCAAAGTGTCAAGGATGAGGTGGGGGCAGTGCACGAGGGTGGCGTGGGATTTTTTAAAAGCAAGGCGGCGTGGTTTGAGGTTTGTGCCTGCACCAGAAAAAACCCTGTTTAAAGTGTCACCCTCTATATAGAGTTTTGCTGTGGAGATTTCTGACCTTGGTATATATACATATATGTGTATGTATATTTATATATGTATATAGAGCGTGGACGGCGGAAGAAGGCAATTTTGGACCAGGCCTTCACAGCGTCTACACCTTTTTTTGCAGTAAATCTATCTACCAGTAGAATAGGCATCTTAAGTCTTGTGCTTAAGTCTAGGTGCCCCGGTATACTCGGACCAGGACGTGTTCCACGAATTGATCGATCCACACCAGGTGCAGGGTCGACCTCGGACCACTCCTCCGCCCTGCTTCACCCCCTGCGGCGGCACCATGGATCCAGAGGAGTGGAGCTTCGGCCTCTAAGCGCCGAGCGAGCGCCGAGCGAGCGCCGGCGGTTGAACCGGTGAGGTGGCCGGATTTGGAGACAGCAATGAGGAGCTCCGGAGCTGAGATACTGATGGATGGCCTGAGAGGTGTGCTGAAGAAGATGTGGAGAACTTTAAGGCAGCATTGAATGGAAGCATGCCTCTGAGTTTTTCAACGGTGATGTGAATGCAAACCGAACATTGGTTCATTTCCTTCACGTTCATTCCGTCCAGATGTCGATCTAATGATTCGCCATTAGTAGCCATTTGTGATGTTGAAGCAAACAATGCCACATTCGCTCCAAGAACCTGGAGGGCAAAGAATAGGAACAGCAAATGGTTCCAAACCTCCTGGGACTTCCGCACGTGACCTGGCCGTGACCTCCGTCCCACTGGCGACCCATGGCGGGCCACGGACGCGGCGACGTCGGCCGGCCACGTCACGTTGGAAAGCCCCCTGCCTCAACCACTTTGGATCGACACCATGTGGAAAGGGTGGGTTGCTTGGTCAAGTTACGAACATGAACGACATTTTCTACACTCACATTCTGGAAGGGTCAGATATGATCCGTGGAACACTGACTACTGTGATGGAAAACTCACAGCCTTCCTCTTCGTGAAAGAACCATACGGGCGTGTTGATATCTGTCTACGGACCAATTGGAGAAGCCCAGCAACCTCGCTTTTTTGAGGCCAAGAAACTGCCAACCAAAGAACTGTGGAGCGGACTTCATTCTTTCTTCACCGCTATTTCCCACAAAATACCATGGAATATGATGGCCACGTCAAGTCAAAGTCAAATTCTTTGCCCCCATCAAGCGGAGACCCAGCAACTGCTATTCCCAGCTTGAGAAGATGGAGACGCTGGAGGATGGAAGAGCTTCCTTTTGGCGGTTGGACGAGGTCAGGCAGCCATCCTCGATGAAAGCAGCTTTGGGCCTTAACGGCTGTGCGTTTTGTTGGATGCATTTGGTCTTTCTTACGCGATGGACTATGATTTAGCACAGGAATGCGAGGTGCAGATGCCCGGCACACTGTGCAGATGCCCAGGGGGCAACGTGATGTCCGACGTGGCGTGGCCAAAAGTGCAACTTTGCACTGCGATGTGCTGCCAAAGGACTCAGAAAGGCCGTAGATTGAACCAGTGGTACTGTAGAAGAGAGTCACATGGTTTCTAGCTATCTTGGGATATCTAGGGTAGTTCCAGCTCGGACAGCCAGAGAACAATGGAAAAACATGGGGATTTCTTACAATGTATATATATATATATACACACATGCACACACACACACAAACACACACCGCGCGCGCACACACTTTCAAGCTTGAAGAAACAGATCTCCACCCCTCCACCCTCTCTAGAGATCTACACTGATATATATATATATATCTATGAACTCACCCCCTGAACTCACCCAGCCTGTATAGTCAAACACCTCCCAGATGCCCCCGGCGTAGTCCATCCGCAGCAGTTCGGCTCGGCTCCAGGCCACCCAGGCGCCGCAGCGGAGCCTTTCTCTCACCGCCGATCCCACGGTTCGCGTGAAAGAGGGCGGTTAGACGGTTCGACGACGAACGACGGCAGGTGCTGGGTCTCCGGGTTTTCTCAGGGTTTTCTCAGGGTTTTCTCAGGGTTTTCTCAAGGTAGTCATGTGGTGTCCTTTGGAACAGTTGGTACTTGGGAGGAGTTTCGGCCCGCATGCACCCGGCTGAAAACGATCGCCCCCCCGATGGACCCCACGGGTGCGTTCGAGGAAGATGTCGGACTGGTGTTCCGACGCCTTCGTCCATGTGAGTTGACTTCGGGGTCCCTGTGAAGGTTTCTATTTCTTTCCATCGACTGACTGTTAGGTCGATGATGCAATCAATGATGCAACTGCCGATGTGTTGACCTTTTGGGCGGTCTGAGCGGTCTTGGTTTCTCTCCCGCCGGTTCTGAGCGGTCTTGGTCTCCCGATCTGAATGGAACTTGGCCGGGTGGAGCAGAGAAAGTCTCACAAAAAAACATGCATTAGTGTAGAAGCAAAGAAAAACATATCTTGGAAACCCAAAGAACCAGACACCAATGGATGTTTCCAGTATTAAACCACTTGTTATGCAAAGGATCTCACTTGCCACAATGGAACAACCATTTGTTTCTGGTTGGGATGGGGTTTCCACGCTTTATTGGCCCACAATGTTCGTGTTCGGCATCGTGAAGTGCTGAGTAAGAGTGGTGGGTGGTGACCGACAGAGATTGAGGAAAAAAAATGGTTCAAGAACACTGCGGCTGGCTCAAGACAGTCACTCATTGGCACGAGTTAAGTGAAGCAGAGCAGAGGAGCTTTGAACTTTCGCACCTACATCAGTTCCATAGAGTTGGGTGCTATCCATGGAGGATAGGGATGTACATACCATCCACTCACTGGATGGCCCAAAATGGAACTCCAGGGTTGTCACCTTTTGAACCATTCCTGAAAAGGAACCATCTCTTTGGGTCTTTTGGACATCAGAACCATCGCTCTTCAGAAGATGACGGACTTGCCACATTTGAGAGGAACATGATTTGGGTTTGACCGTTTTTTGTTTTTGTTTTTTCAGACCACATGGAGTAGTCACGTTTCCGTTGGCGGGGTGAAGTTTTAACCAACGTTCTTTATTTCCTTTGGTTCTTCTAGTGGGACAGCATGCACGTTTAAGCGCGTGGGTGTTTCTTTTAGAAGGGGGGGTCCTTCTTTCGTCATTCCATGACTTTCTATCCGGAAGATGACCTCAACCTTTCAGCAAGTTCAGAAGCCCTACGGGGCCACTACGGGGGCCTTGCAAACGCTTTCAACACTTCCATGTGGGCCGCATGTTGCAGCCTCCTGGGGCGGAGCCTCTTTGTCACAGGCGCGGTGAGGGCGACCCACCAGCAAGGGGAACTCTGAGTCAATAGCGCTGGGGGCCCCCCCCGGCGGAAATACTTCAAACATGAGAGCCTATTGGTTGGGCGAAGCCGCTCATTTGGAAACTAGTCTATTTTCCTTCTTCCAGAGCTACACACCAGACTGTGATGTGGCGAGTCGCCCTGCTCCACGCCCGCCGCCTCGACCCGTCCAGTTGCGGCTCCATTGGTGCTCTTGGGCTCAGTCCTTCTGCAGGTGGCTCCGGGCGGCGCGCTACAAAGGGGTGGGCTTGTGGCTGGAGGACGGACCCTATTGCGCAGCACAGATAGATATCTGTAGCTTGGCACATGTAGATATGCAGTCTTCAGGAATGCGCTGTTGAGGGTGGTAAGGGGGGAAGATTCTTCAATTGTTGGTCCAAGTCACGTCCAAGTCAAGTGTTTTTTGAAGGAATCTCAAACAGCCAACTTCGTTGGATTTCCCGATCGCGATTGAACACGTGTCTGTTTCGTTGACCCTCAACTCTGCAGTCTGTTTGGCATTTGCACTGGCTCATCTAGTTGGGCGGTCAAAAGACTTGCTATGGCAATTCATCATCCCATTCCACATACGGTCCTGGGTGAACAGTGGTCACCAGGTCTTTGCCCGACCAGATTCGGGGTGCAACACATAGAGTCAGAGTGTTTCTCGAGGACACATCCCGCAGTGTGACACACCCACCAGAGGAGTGGACTTTTGCTCGGGATCTGATAGGGTGCTGATGTTTTTCTTTTTTTCTAGCACCGCTTCGCGTTCGCTTAGCACGGGCCAGGTCTCCATTGATTTGGAGGTGCAAAGTGTGGCAACCCAGGGAGTGGTCAAAGATGAACTGCAAATGTGTGGAGAGGAATGTGGCTGATATGTGGTGTGTGTATATGACATGTACGGGACTTGATGGGGCAGGTGGACTTACCAGACACATTGGGCGACGTTGACAAGTGTAGGTGACATGATTTTGAACGCCGCTCTTGCAGGGTGGATGGATGTTTTCAAGATGGAGGCGAACTGTTGGTTTGGAAGGCGGAAAATGGCCCACTTGCAGGTTCGATTGAGAGACTTAGACTCAGACGAACCTTTGCCGAGGTTCACACGTTTCGAGTGTGGTTTTTGGGAACATTCGTTTTCGATGCAGACAAATGGCAAAAGGGTGGACCCAGAAGCTGGAGCTACATCCACAAGGCCACACCCAGGCCGGGGTGTAGGTTTTCAGGTCCCTGTCCTGGGAAATCACGTGGGGAGACGAACTGTTGGAAGGAGAAAGGAGAGTTCAAGTGATCCTAAGGTCACCAGGGGGTGACCAAAAGGTGTCACTCCCAGACATTTGCATCCCATCTAGCCATCGTTCGTCTGGTGTTGGTTCATGGGCCGCCGATCTTCGCCTTCTTTCTGAGGCCTGCAAAACCTCAGATATGCTGTGGGTGAGTCCGCCTTGGCCACCGGCACCGAAGAGGAGGCACACGACGACGAAAACACAATCGGACCGACCGGAAACGCTGAGTGATCACGGACGACTGGGTCGCGTTCTCGGCAACAAGAGGTGGATGGGATCTACCCCAGATGAAGATGGGGCAAGGCCGAAATGAATAGGAGATGTGTTTTGGAATCAAATATAATCAAATAAAGTCGAGGTGGGCCCAGATACCCTATATATAATGTAGATCATCTCGATCTAAACCGAACCACATCGAGTTACGTCCTGGTGTTCTGACCCGACCCACAATATGTGGTGTTGGTGCTTGGAGTCGATGGGCCTTGAAGAAAAACGCCCAGGGTGGGGAAGATGAAGTTTCATGGACTCCAAAAAAGTGAAACCTTGCTCCTTGTAGCGTCTGCTGCTCCGTTCGCAGCGATGCCAGGAGCCCCGTTCGTAGCTTCTTGCTGGTGTTTTGTGTCGTTTTGATCAAGACAACGCCACTCAGAAGTCCAGTTCAGTCTTGGTCTTTGCATAGCTTAGACGCCTGATCCAGAGAAGGACTCATCGGTCCGACCAGCTGAACAAATATCGGCGCAGGACTCTTACGGATCCCTTTTTCACTCAAACAGGACGACTTGGAGATTCTTTTTATCCCATGAAGAACTAAGAACATCGCAA